TCAAATGCAAAACTAATACAACAGCACAATCCAGAAAAATGTGTTGACGAACACTCAAAATCTCGTTTGAATTCGACTCAAAATAGATATTTTGCATCGTTATGAAATTCAGAACACAAAAACTGCACTGTTCTTCACGCAGAAACAGTGAGAGCTGTCAATTCGATCGCCACAGTCAGACTTCGATTTGTTATGAAAATATTCTTGCTCCAGCACACACACAAGAATGAAACGAACGAAGCGGAGAAGCAACAGAGGATACACGAGAGCAACAGTACACATAGCTATGTTACTTGATTGTTCTTTCTGTATGCGGTTCATTCTCACATTCTTTCTTTCGTGTTTGTATATCTGCTGTACGGTCTGTGTAGAATTGAGCGAGCATAATGTGAACCGTCCGTTATTTGTTACATTCTGAATAATATGCATTGCGTTAAAATATTTCATTGGAAGGTGTCATTTTATTGGGAACCATGCACATAATCCACGTTAAATATAACACTGAAATTACCACGAAAATGGGCCAAAACGTTACATTACGCGATGGTGAAATCTACTGAAAATGGTTACATTTTTGTTCCTTGGGTATAAAATGGTATGATTATACAAGCATTTTGGCTTCGTCTAACCTATAATAACGCCCCGCAACCGACTCTGTTGGCCGATGCATGCGATGTCGAAATGGCAATAATGTCGAAAAGATAACACCGGATTATTGAGTTCAATATGGAATGCAGTGAGGTTTTTCGTTCATATGCGAAAAAGTGTGCAAAGCAAAGGGGGGAAAACAATGCACACAGAAAAAAAATCGATTCAGCCTATGTTTTCAAATAGTGAGCTGAGAGTGATAGCGACTGCAGCTTATTTCCAGACCATAATTACGATCTGCTGAACGACGTTATCATTTAAACGGAGCCATAAACGGACGAAAGAATTTCCACTCAGAAAGTGTTGCATGATGTGTGTACTGTGTACTACTGTAGTTCACTGACGAACACATTCTACGTCAGCGACAAGCTTCCTACTAATACATGAATTTTAATATGAAGTAAACACAATGACATTGATTTGAGAAAGAGTATTTTTATTGTTCAGGGCGTGCTCAAGATGAAACTTCCATCCCTGAAAATTGCCTTAAAATGTGAAAGTTATGCGCATTTCTGTGCAGCTTACGATTTTCGTTTTTTTCATCAATTATAATAGTGACAATTATTACTAACCAGATATATTTGAGTGTGATATTAATCACTGGTGATCCTTCTAGATTTTGAAATCATCAAATAATTGAAACAGTTTGTAATATGAACTAACACATGTAGTCATGGGATGACCACAGAAATGAAATTTAAAAAAGAATTTCAGACTGTAATTATAAATTCGTAAAACTGAAGGAAAAAACGTGCATGTGAAGGGCGAAATGTATGTAATAGATTTCCAAAGTTCAGAGATCCCTCCTTGAGGGAGTTCATCTTTGACCTAAGAACAAATTTGCATGGAGAGTAGCCACAATCTGTGGAAAATTTTCTAATTTCACCACGATGAATGTTTCAAATGGATTTTTGTAATGAACATGATGCTCTGTGCCACAGTGGTGTGCGGAAGTGAAATTGATGAAAAGAAAATGTAACAGTAAAATAAAACGTTTCAAACAAAAATGATTTTTTTCAAGTCGATTGAACAATAAGTACAAAAACAAAAGATATGCTCTGATGTAAAGAAAATGTTCAGGCGCAGTTTGTGGTTAAAAATAGGTTTAGGTACAAATCAATACTTCCAGAAAGAATGGCAGTGTACGGATGTTGAAGATTACTAAAGCTAAAAATAGCTTGGTTGATATTTAGAAAAAATCGAAAAAAAAGATCTACGAACAATTTTTCAAACAGTTGGTTCAACGAAGGACCTCAAAATAGAAATTGATATAAAATTCTCCCTTCGTGTGTGCTAATTTAGCACCGCTTTATCAACGATGATTTTATTTGATTCAAAAAGGTACTAAATTTTCCGGTTTTCTTATACATAAATCAGGGAATCAGATATTTCATATCCAAGCTGGCGAGACATATCGCGGTTCGACTGAGTTCTTTCGTTTGATATTGGACCATTTTGAATTTTGGGGGTGTTGAAGAAATGTGAAAATTTCCTAGCGAGGCCTCCGGAAAATTCATCCGTTTTCACCTACTATTAGAAACCTTTCGAAGACATTTAATTGATTTACAGACATGTTTTTATTGGTTTTCTATATATGAACGCGTGAGAATAAAAGACTGACGCTACCAGGTTTTTCGCAAAAGCGGGATAAAAATCAGTTGCACACAAAAGAGACATTTCAAAAGGTTGCACGCAAGAGAGAAGTAGAGAGTAAGAGTATTGTTTTCGTAATCACTGCTTTAAAAT